AGTCTGGAGTCCTTCTTGCCATGGCCTTTGATCGCTTTACTGCCATCTGCAATCCTCTGAGATATACATCCATCCTCACCAATATGAGAATCATCACCATTGGTGTGGCCATTTTAGGGAGGAGTTTCCTGTTCATTACCGCTCCCATTGTCCGCCTAAAGTTCTTCCATTACTGCCATCCTCATATCCTCTCCCATTCCTTCTGCCTGCACCAAGACTTACTTCGGCTTGCCTGCTCCGACATCCGCTTCAACAGCTTCTATGCGTTAGCCCTGGTGATCTGCACACTCTTTTTGGATTCGGTGCTCATTCTCATCTCCTACATCTCGATCGTGCATTCAGTCTTGACTATTGCATCCCGGGACGAGCGGCTCAAGTCCTTGAAGACCTGTGTCTCCCACATCTGTGCTGTTCTGGTTTTCTATATCCCAATTATTGGTTTGACTATGGTGCACCGCTTTGGAAAGCACCTCTCTCCTGTGGTCCACGTCCTCATGGGCAATATCTATATCCTTTTCCCACCCTTGATGAACCCTATCATCTACAGTGTCAAAACCCAACAAATACGTAGCAGGATCCAGAGATGGATCACTAAACAAAACTGAGTACTAGAACTTAGTGTGTTCTAAGGAAGGGAAGGTCGTATTTGCAAGAGGAATGACTGATAATGATTTGTAGCAGAAATAATAAATGTATATGTAACGTTTAACAGATTAAAGGCATATTTATAGTCATTTCTTAATTTAGTTTTCCAGAGCCGGAGAAATAAGCAGAGAAAGTGTTACTGATCTCATTTCCTAATTTTAAAATTAAGTATAACGTTAACCACACTGACTTGTGTTCCCCAGTGTATCAGTGAGCACTTGCCTGGGTAGTTACTAAGTTTACGGTACCATCCATGCTTTCTGAATTCTAGTTCAGCATGTGATTTTATTTTTCATAGAACTGGTATATCGGTACGTTAACTTGTATAGGACAAGTGGCCTTTACATATTATTCCCATGTGTCACAAGTTGACTCTGTTGAGTTTGTTGAGAAGGAAAATTTTACTCTACCCTTCAAGGTTCTTCTAAATTAGTCTAATAATTACATTGGCATGAGACAGATTAACAGGAGAAAAAAACAAAATTTAATTAATGCACACAGAGGTCCATAGTAAAATTAAGACCAAAGGAAATGACCAAGACATGAAGTTTTATACATTTTAGACAAACATCCATCTGTGACGAATTGACGGGACAAAGAAAACTTATGCTCAGGAGCTTCCATTAGTAAAGAATTCTAAATGTGGACTAGAATTTGGGCTGGGGTAATAAATCTGTAAAAATTACAAGATTTATTTACATAGGGTACTTTGGCCCTGATTCCCTATCTCTGATGATAAGGATGTCTCTTTACCTCTTGATGCAGAGAAGGTATCTTTCACATGGGAGATGTGCTTCCTGCTTTCTGGAGACAAAGAGTCAGCAGTCTTGCACTGGCTGTTTCTTAAATAAGTTTAATTCAGCATAATCTTTATGGTATTGTGGCATACTTTGGGGCAGCTTTCCCTAGGTCCCTACAAGGTCATTCACACCTCTTCTACATATGTTTAAGCAAAAGTGCCTAGAAAGACTGTTCTGTCTCACCTAATAGAATGAAGGATTGGTAGATTAGATTACACAGTTTAATGTAAAAGATTTGGTGAACAGTGACTGAATCAGATATCATATCTCTACATAGTCTACGATGTACCCCCAATTCTATATAGTTTACAATAGTCATGAGAGTTGCCAATTGACCTTAATCTTGGTGGCAGTGTACATGAAATTTTAAAGACAGATCAACCTCTTTATCTTTAAGGTAGGATGCGAAGGCACATATATATTAAGTAAAACATCAGTACCTAAACTGGGGATAGAATTATGGTTGTGAGAATCTTTTGAATGTATATCCCATTTTT